GCCTTGAGTGGACGCTCACGATGACCACAGAAGGCGGCTGCAGCACCCGGGCAGAATGTGGCTGCCCTGGGAACGGGGCGAATCAAAACAGCTTGTGCTTGAGCAGCCCCCTTGCAGCAGACGAAGACCTCTCCCCCTCCAGGAAAGACGGCACATACAGGCAGGTGGCCCTGCTTCCTCTTCCTGGAAGGAGACGTCGTCTTCCTTCCCCTCCGACTGCCGTCGCCCCGAGACCAGCCTGTCAGGGAAAACGGAGCTGCTTCGGGTGCCTGTTTGTTCCCCAGACCCGCCACCTCCCTGAGCCCCCTGCACCCGAGGAGCCAGGAGTATTCGGGGCAGACTCACAAAGGCCAGGGGACCCTGGACTGAAGCTGGCCAGTCGAGTGGGTTTTCCAGAGCTGTTGGGGGTGGTTCAGGCTTGCGAAGCCTGATGCCTGCCTGTCCATGTCAGCTTTTGTTTTTTTGTTTTATTTTATTTTTTTGAGCTGGAGTCTCACCGTTGCCCAGACTGGAGAGCAGTGGCCGCCCCCGGCCGCCGCAGCCTCGACCTGCTGGGCTCCGGCGATCCTTCCTCCTCAGCCTTCCGAGTAGCTGGGACTACAGGCACACGCCACCATGCCCAGCTAATTTTTTTTGACTGATCGTAGAGGCGAGGTCTCGCCGAGTCGCCCAGGCTGGTCTCAAACCTGTGGCCTCAGGCAGTCCTCTCGCCTCTGCCTCCCAAAGTGCTGGAATGACAGGCGTGAGCCACCAGGCCCGGTGTAACCATTTCCTGTTTTGCCCACGGCCATATTGCGTCTTTGGTGTCACGCCTCTCAGGAAACTGTCCCCTTTGCCAAAGTGTTCTTGATTTGACAAGCGCCTGTGTAGCTCCTCCTGTGTGCCACACTGCTCCGGGCTCTTCACCGGCTCTAATCCACTTCTTCAGGCCAGCAGGAAGAAATTCCTGCTATGACCGTCTCCATTTTCCGGAAGAGGTAGTTGAGTCTGTGTGGCTGAGGCCACGTGGATTTCAGCAGCAAGCCGGGTTTGAACCCAGAGCTGCTGGGAGGAAGAGTCCCTGGAAGGAAGCCTCTGTGGATCCCTGTGGGGGACAGGGCTGGGTGGTGACTGCGGGTTCCAGCCCCGCCTCCTGTCGCCCAGACTGGATTCGCCCTGGTCTCCCCTTCCGAGCCAGGCAGCACGGCCAAGTGACCACACATCTCACTTCTTGGCTCGGCCTGTCATCCCGCGCTTTGGGAGGCCGAGGTGAGCGGATTGCCCTAGCCTGCGGGTTCGAGACCCGCCTGGGCAACTTGGCGAGACCTCATGTCTACAATCAATCAAAAAAATCAGCCGGGCGTGGTGGCGCGCGCCTGTGAGTCCAGCTCCTTGGAAGGCTGAGGCGGGAGGATCACCGGAGCCCAGCGGGTCGAGGCTGCGG